TTCTGAAAGCAGGGAAAAAGGATGGGAATCCATGCTGATTACAATATATTGAAACCCATCTTTTCTGTAAGTTAACTAACCATTTTTTCTTTCTGTATGTGTCATTGTGGATCCCACTGAAGATGAATAGCACAGAGTATCTTCTTCAGGGTGACAGGCATGATGTGCACCAGATGCATTAGATAAAGAAGGATGGAATACTGTTCTCCTGAATCTGGTATTGGATTTACCAAGCAAGAACAGTACACGGGGCTTTAGAAATGAGAGCAGACTGTTATACCGCATAGACTAGAAAAGTTCACATACTGGAACATTTCTGAAACAAGTCAAGGATGTCGCTTGAGCTGTGGCAGAATAAGCCTTGATAGACAGTGGAAGAGGTATATTTGCCAGCTGGCAGCACAGATATGAGAGAGTCTAATTTTCATCTTGCTGCTATGAGGGAACTATAAGACGACTGTGGCTGCAGAGCTCTTTTTGTCAGTGAATGGGAGCACAAAGAAGCACACAACACATGTGCAGACCCAATGGACACTGCAACTGAAAGCAATTCCAAAAACGAAAATGATGATGGCTGGTGCAGTAAGTCTGGATACTACCTGGAAGAGGATATTGGAGAAGTATAATGCCAATCTCTCAGATGCCAATGACCAGGTACCTATTACACATGAGTCTGGGAGGAGTCATCAGCTCTAAAAATTAGCTGTTAGGGTAAATAACAGAGTGATGCTTCAAGTTCTGGGAAGGTGGCACACAGTCATTAACTTCAAGGCTTTAAAACTCAACTGTAAATTCCTCTTGGCAACAGATGACATTCAGTATGCCCTGATTGGGACGGACTTCCTGAAGAAATACGAAACCACTGTGAATTTCACCAAATGTTCCTGTTTCCTGTCGGGAAAATGTTTTCCTTGTCCACTACAGATGATCACGTAGAAGTGTGTGAAATGGTAGTGGGGAAAAAAATCTGAAAGAGCCTCTAAATTTGAGATAATTACCCCAGGAATATCAGAAGGTTGGTGCCAGGATGGTGAAGGCTGCCTGACTGAGCCCTAACCTTCAAATAGACTGGAGCTCCTCGTTGGACACTTGATTGGTAGGAACTAATGTGCCAGATCCTGGCATGGGTAGTCAATGTCTCACCAGAGTCATTAGTAGCATATGAAAGTATGATGATTGGTACACTTGAGAGGAAAGTGCTGTTCCTGCAGGAAGATCACAAAACCAAGACCCCTGGTGGTGTGAGGATGTTGAAATCAGACTAGAGTCAAGGCAAGAAAGGACTGGAAAGAAAGGCCCAGTGAGATGCAGAAAAGTTTAAACAACACAATGTGAAGCTTGAACAGATGAGAGTAGTACAGGAAGTTTTGTTAAAATATGCAAATATATGTAGTCATGGTGACCATCTTCTGGGATGCACTGGGTTAATCAAGTATTGGAACAGTTCTGGGAATGCCAGACCCATCAAAGACTCGAAAGAAGCCTGATTCATTTTCAGAAGGAGTTCAAGCAATGGAAGATAGTGGGTTCATTAGGCCCTCTGTGAGCCCATGGGCTGTTCCAGTGATGTTGGTGTGGAAGAAACATGGAATGCATAGACTGAATGATGCAACTGCTAAAGATGCCTATACCTTGCTCCAGACTGATAATACATTGATTGAGTGATTAAATACTGATGGTAGTTCACCTGTGACCTTGCAAGTGACCAATGTAGATGTAGCCAGAAGGTAACACTAAAATAGCACTTTCACCAAGGAGTGATTTTTTGAATTCAATATGACGCCATTTGGTGTGTGTAATGTGTTTGGTACATTTCAGAGGCTCATGGATATTGTGCCAGCAGACTTTGAGGGAACACTTTACCTAGTACACCAAGATGAAAGCATTGTGATAGGCTGAACTTTGGAAGAACTGCTGCAGAAACTGAAATCAGTACTCAGGAAATTGAAAGGTGACAATCTGAAAGTTAAGCCCACAGTTAGTTTTTACTTTAGTGAGGTGACATATTTGGGCCACATGATCTCTATGGAGGGAGCAAGCCGAGATCCAGAGAAGATGGATATGTTGAAGCATAGGTTACATACCAAGGTACAAGCCAAGTCTCCAGCTTTTGAGGTTTTGCCTCCAACTACAAAAGATCCATAGCAGACTTTGCTATTTTGGCCGGCCTCTTACACAAAAAGGCCCCCCGCTCCAGATTTGAAGCTCTCTGGAAATGTGGAAGACACCTGGAGAAGACTTAAATAATGTGTGGCACTATATTTGCAAAAAGTTGAACACCATTGAATTCCATTTGGTTGCCATAGTTGGTAAGAGGGAACTATGGAAAGTCCATGGGTGCTCCAGCTTTGACTGCCCTTACAAGGAGCACAGGGTAGGTACATGAATGTAGGGACACTGCTATTCAAAAGACTACAATCTCTCAAACATGGGATGCATGCACTACTACTCTGGGATTAACTCTGATATAAAGAAGAATGTTGGGTTTTATTCAAGCCTCTGGAGGAGAATGTGATTTAACAAAGTGGTTTTCAAACATTTTTTTTCTCATGACCCATGCCCACAACCCAACATAATTTGACTAGAGTGGGTTCCAGAGTAGGACTAAGGAGGAGAGCTTTGAGGTGGCTTACCTTGAGCAGACCATGCTGTACCCTTGAAACAGTAGCAGGTTCCCAGCCAATGGGAGTGTGGAGTTAGTGTTCAGGGCAGAGGCAGTGCACAGAGCCCTGGGCCCTCCCTCCACACACCTAGAAGCCAGGCCTGTTGCCAGTTGCTTCTGGGGTGCAGTGCAACCTGTAGTGCCAGTAATAATAGGCAGCCTTCCTTAGCACCCCCACTTGTCACCTGATCACGTTGCAGCAATGAGACTCAGTGCCTGTCATTCCATGACCAAGTACTAGATCCTGACCTGTAGTTTGAAAACCACTGCTTTAACAGACAGACTCTTCTTGCCATTTCCTCAAGCACAATCCTTTCTGCCCATCCCCTTTAAATTGTTCCTGTCCCAGGCCTGTAGTTTTTCCACCTTTGGCTCCTTATCCAGTCCCATTATCCTTACCTATCCAGTTCCAGTCTCCACTGCTCACGCTTCTCATTCAGTCCCAGTCTTCTTGCTAATCCATATCAAGTTCCTCCCCATCCCAATTCCTTGTCCCCTGCCTCTTTGCCCAGCCAAGTCCAGACCTGCCTTCTCCTCATCTGACCCATCTTGGCCGTTAGTAGTCCACTGATTGGCTACAAGTGACACACACTGTCCCAGGGTTGCTCATCTAATCTTGGTGCCTCCCTCCAGCCCCTTGTGTCAGTCTCCATTGTCCAGCCAGTCCCAATCAGGTCCCCTGGTTCTTCATCCAATCTCTTTTTCCTCCTATCTACTGCCTCCCAACTACAGTAGTCTTGCCCAGCCAGTCTCAATCTCTGGCTCAGCAAGTCCCAGTCTCTCCTGGATTCCAATCCCAGTTTCCTTGCAATGTCAGTTCCAGTTTCCTCCTCTCCCACAGCCAGCTTGCAGTCCCATTTCCCATCTCACAGGCTCTTTCTCCCAATCTACTCTCACTGCCAGCCCTCCTCGGGGCTGACTTTTCTTCCGTCTGTATTCAAATCAGACAGATTTTTCATTTAGGCTGCTTGAGCCAAGCAGGACACTCACTGTGAGCAGTGGATAAAGAGAATCCTTGCTCAGTTCTAATAACTACACACAGCATAGCCTGTAGCAGCCCAGAACAGCAACTGAAAAAAGAGTTCTGCTTAGCCCACTACAAACAGAATGTTTGAGAAATGTAGCTACTAAGAAGTCTCTACTGAGCATGGCAAAATTTGTCAAAGGATTATAACTTGGCAACTTTGGGCAGATATTCACTGGCATGACAAAATGAACATCCCTGAGACAAAGACTACCCTTGTGAAATTCCAAGTCTATGCTTCAAAGAATGGGGGCAATTAGGGCTTTTCATTAAAAGACAGCCAAAATTTTTTTGGATGGGCAAAACAATATATAGGAGCTGAACTGTTCCACTGGAAACTTTTCAGACTAATTTAGCCCAACACAGAAAATTTCAGTCCAAATGGTTAAAGTTTGGCAAAGAGATAAGAAACTGACGGTAGGGTGTAATAATTGGAATTGTTGGGCAACTTAACAACAGCCAGTGCTATCAGCCCTGCCTAGAATAAAATAGCCCTGCCTAGAATAGAACAGATACTTGAGTTGAATGTGCAAGAGAGAAGGAAAACAAACAGCAACGCTGTATGTATGGGAGGAGAGGAAGACTGAAAGAGATAACTTCAGAAGAGTTGCTACCCCTGAATGTAATGCTGACCCTGATGTATCACTTTTGGATTATTAATAAATAAATCTTTGCTTTGATTCCACACATGTATTCCTTGCTCCTAAATGCACTCAAAGCACAACACAGATGAAAGAAGAGGGTATCTGGAGAAGGGAATCATGAAGAGCAATATGAGATGTTACTCTTATTTACCTCCAAAAAGGGAAAGAACATTCATCTCATTAAACACAGTTTAAAAACACATCATTTCTTTTTCAGAAGTAATTGTTATAGTTGCCACATGTAGAGAGTGCAATTGGAAATGGGATTACAAATGGAAGGAGACATGAGTCTTTTTTCTTTTAATATGGTCACTTTATTGTAAAATTAGAGAACACTTTTTATGGCTAGGATTTAAACTTGCCCTTAAAACTAAAGGTTAAAAAACATGATAGAACTTTTTCCTTAAAATTAATTGAGGTATATTTCTACAACTGTTTTAGTTGGACCTAGCAATTACATCTACAGTATTCTATCTGAAAACACTTAAATGATGTGCATTCATCTCCTATTTTCTCCTGAAAATTTCAAATGACACTACAAAGAATAAGCTTTTAACCACTGACAATTTCTCTCATCCATGTGAAAAACTGAAGCCAGGAAGATATCATGAAAGATGTGTATTTAATCACACATCCTGCCACGTATGGAATTTCCAATTAGTAAACTTACATAGCTCCATTTGTGTAGACCGTGTCACTTCCCTCCACATACTGCACCTGTGCTGGGTAGACATGCTGTACCTGCTGCACGGTCTGCACCTGCTGTACCTGTAAAAAATAAAAACAAAAAAGCACCAGGCACTTTATGGGACATGGTATTTTGTAAAAACAATGTCCACTGCTAAAGTGGTTTTAATGGCTGCTAAGCAATATTAAATAGTTATGGTTCTAACAGTTCTTAAACAATAGAGAATGGAATTGCTGTGGCATAGGACTGCAATTACTACATTACAGTACTGACAATTCAGAGCCACATCTTTGGGAGTGCATGTACTCTCAATGCCAAAGTCAGAACCACCTGAAAAGCAGTAGGCCATACATTTGCTCCTTCACAACAGCAGCCTCCTGGAACTCACTTCAGATCCTTTCTAATTAAATCATAATCTACTCTCAAAAAGAACTAGAGAAAATGGATTGGAAGTGTGGTTCTGTGCTGTTCATCTATTTTAAGAATTATACTTTCTAGTATAGGAATTGCACTTCCTCTAGCATGGCCTTGTCTACCCTGGATTTTTGCTACGGTGCAATTACACGGATATAGTTGGCTGGTATAAATCTCAAGTATGTGATGTGCTGGTGTAAAAACTACCTTGCATTAGTGTGATATACCTGAATTTCAAATTGGGGTAAGCTGCATCAGTGTGCATCGCTTTTTATGGGAGTGCTATTAAACCGGTGTGACTATAACAAAATCCAAAATATAACTAAGGCCCTACTCTGAGGCTACATCTATAGCCCTTCTCAATGCTCTAAGATTGATCCACCAAGAGTCAATTTAGCAGGTATAGTGAAGACTTGCCAGATTTACTGCAGATCACTGTCCCATCAACCCTGTTGCTCTACTCTGGATGAGAGAGTATGGGAAATCAATGGGAGAGTTTCTCCCATTGACACCTCCCTCTCCCTCCTGGTGTAGAGCCAGTGGTAACAACTTAAGGTATGATAATCTGCAGTAGTGCAGATGCAGTTGACAGCAGAGATTCCTCATTTAAACCCAACTTTGCACTCTGCTGCCCCAGGTACCACATACTTCAGGAGGCTTGGAACATAATCCCATCCTATATCTGGAATCCAAATAAAAAAAGGTAATGTTGCATATATTTATGAACTGAACGTCAAATAGCAACCGCACCTATCTCAGTGACAGAAATATTTCTTAGACATGCTGTTGTCAGGCAGCCTTGGACCTAATAAAATATGCCTTAAGCCTCCCAATACTCTAATTCCCCTGTAGCATGGTTCTCATTTCATTCTGTGGCTCATCAGGAAGAACAATTTGAGAACTTCTCAATTAGAACATCTGTATCATCCTGACTAACTCTTCAACATTCTGACTATAACATATTTTCTCTACTTTCTTTTCTGGTACTGACTCATTCATTTAGAAAAGAGATTTTGTAGCAGATGTATAGAAACTCTTCACTATAAAGTCTAAATTCAGAAAACAACACTTCAGCAACAATATTCAAGTTAGAAAAATGGAGGTTTTTGACATTACACTTTCTGAAGGTTATATTAATTGGTATTTACCATCAGCACTTTTTCAAAATATTTCTACTGTAGCCATTTATATAAAGACAGTACTGCTCTTACACAGCCTGTTCTTTTGGAAAGAGTACCTGAAGTGTTATTTTTCAAAAAAAATTTAAATCAAGTGGCAAAGATGATTTCTTAACAAGTCAAAGCTGCATATATTTCCTCTCCAACTAATCTTTGGCTTTATAAAAGGGAGATTCAGTAAATAAATGAAATCATGAGACTACTACTTAATCCAGAAAGCTCTTCTCTTTATTTGACTTCAAAGCAGATTTTGTGCGTGAAAAGTAATAGAAATTATTGCATCACACAAACATTTCTGTTGAAGTGTAATCCAACCTTTTGATGTTTTATGCCTTGAATTCTTGTGCCCTCTGTCTTACCCTAAACTGTAAACCCAAATCATACTTACTCTAAAAGAACTGATGGAATCTGTTCCAAAGCCCATTGAATTCTATGCAAGTATTTTCAACAAGCTTTGGATCAGTCCTGAAAGCACACCTTTCAACCTTCGAATGTGTCAATATATTTCATAAGCCATCACAATTTGTGGAAAGCGGCTGAAATGTGGAATGTGTATTTTGTTGTGTCTCATACGATAAGTGACAGAAGATGATAATGGTTTTCAAGAATAAAATCTATTTTAAGGATTTTTTTTTCTCCCTAGGTGAATCAAACAAGTTCTGCAATCAGACTCAAGAAGAGAGACACACACGCTCCATAATGTCATCCATATTTTAAATTTAAAAAGTATAGCAGGATACATAGGACTTTTTAAAAAAGAATACATTCTTGAACGCCTACAGCTTGTTTATTAATTTAATAAGATGAAGCCTAAAAATCCTTGCAGCAGTATGAATAAAAAGCAACAGATAACACCCACTCTGCCACCTTGTGAAAGAGCATGCTTCATAGAAAAGAAAGGAGGATGTGTATTGACTTACTTAAAAAAAGCCAACAACAAAACCCTATTAGGAATTAAAATTGTTGTAACTGGAAGGTTCCATGGCAGTTGAGTGACATCCTAAGTCTAAAAATCAGTTCTTTCAAAGTTGCAATATCACTATGAAGCCTTTAAAAAAATAAAAAATTACTGTGGGTCAATAATCGAGATTTGATGCTACTATAGAAAAACATGCACACAATCTGGTAGACGTGCATATATTCTGTATGATTCTTTGAGGTAAAAATGTAAAAGATCAGGTAACTCCCAAACAGGTTTTGGAGTTTAAGAAAAACTTAATGCAAATCTGAATTTAGAGCTGAATCCATTACATTTTTAGAAAAAAATATGACTTCCTATAACATGAGTACTTAAATGATCTTTTTATGTAATGAACAAAAAATAATATAACTAAAAAGCCTTTGTGATAGCATTTGTTCAGGAAAATTTTGTCTTGAAGAAAACCACTTTAAAAGCCTTATTCAATAACTAAGCTATATCCTATTTTAAAATATATACTTAAAGACGCATATGATGTTTTTCAGTTAGAGAGTTCATTCACTGCTGAAGCCAAAGCTGTTAAACCTCTTGAGGAAGGCATATCTTCTACTTCATGCATCTTTTGGCTGGGTGTAGAGTACATACGGATCTAGCCTCCTACCATGTGTATAACAGCAGTGCAGCTGGTGAGACACTACTTAGACAGGTGGAGTAAAGACACGCCTGAAGGATGTGGGTACATATGTGAGTACATATCCCATGCAGTTGCTACTTGCTCAAGTCTGGCTACACAGCTGTATTTTGCAGTGTAGTATCCTGCTGTTGAACCCTTGCCCTTCTAAGGAAGCTGCCCTACCTCTCCTCTGCTCCACTCCATCCATCTGCTTCTGGAGCTTTTCTCCAATGCCAGAGCCTTTCACCAACACATGCAGTTAGTGTGGGCACAGCAGGATTTTAATTGTGCCTGTAGTTACAAATATCCTACATGCTGCCATTAGGGAGGTATACTGTAGACATAGCCTTAGATTGAGAAGGGCACATATTTCTATTCAGGAATGGGAAGTGAAGTAGAGTAAGTATCTCATTAAAGATATTCAGGCCCAATTCATCAAGTAGAATTTGGCCATGAGGGAAAAAAATCTCCATTTTCAATATACGACTGGAACACTATAGAAATGTTGTTTTTCCTTTCTCTTCTGTTTTCTATTTCATTTTTGCCAGACAACTTTTATTTAATTGTTTAACAAAAAATCAACTGTGGTCTGTTTGCTTGTGAGGTTAAACAGAGACTGGTTAGGGGGAGGTGAAGAGGGGTTGGGGCTCAGCGAGAGTGTCTACCACCAGAGATCTTTTAAATTCCAAACTGTCTGAATAAGCTCCCTACTTGTGTGACACTGCGTGAACGAGCAGCCAACTACTAAGGCTCAAGTTACAAAATATTCTGAAACATTTATGACATTCTGATACTGTTCAAGCTTTAAACCTGATACTACTAGGGATGGAGGAAGCATAGTCAGGGTAACTGTTGCAAGTGCCCTATTAGAAGACAGGAAATAAACTGATTGGCACAGGAAGCAAATGAGGTTAAGAAGGATCTAGCAGTAGACATTTTTTACCCTTCTTTTGTTGTTTCCAGCTTGGAGTAACTGGAACAGGAGAAGGAGTAAGCAATCAGTGAGCCTCCAATGGAATGAGAGGCAGAATGAATACTTATTTTAATGTATCTTTTTAGTGATTATTTTTATTATTTGCAGAAGAAAAGAATACAAAACAAATTACATGCTTGAGTAAAATATGCTGCCCGAGAGGAACAAATGGAGCACTAATTTATACAGTATATAGATGCAAATGTTTGTCAACAAAAATAAAGTAAATAAAAATATTCAATTAAAAAACAGAAACCATCTTGAACCGTAAAACTGGAATGTTGCACAACAGGGAACTTTGAACAACAAATGAATTTATAGTAAAAGAACTAAAGAGGAAACATTAGAAAAATAGGGTAAAATAAAGTAAGATTTATGAACTAAAAAGTATCAGCTATAAATAATTTTGCATATACATTTTCCTTTCTCATATTTCAGAATCATTTTTAGTATCATTATTAGTCTCTGTATTTCTTTTTGTAAGCATCGCAGAAAGGGCACACACAAAGATTCTTAGCTCATATTCATGTATATAAATGACTGATATCAGATCATGATTGTGTTTTGCATATTCTAAACATGGCCTTACATTAGGTCCCAATTTTGATTAGTAGAATCGTGCCTCTTTGTCTCAGTGATACATCCTCACAATCCTTTCTGCAAGCTCTGGCTGTGCTCTGAGATGAATATGAAGGCATGTTTGAATTTTGGCGGATGGATGCTTCACTCTAGATAGATTACATGATCTATTTTAACTCATTTCCTCTGATTGCTTGCGCAGTACGATGCACAAAATATAAACTAAATGGGGGCTAGTGCTGACCCCTTCGCCATTTTCTCCCTTACACTTAAGAGCACAAAATAAAATAGGAAAGGAATATGCGTGGGGTTGGTCCTGCTTTGGGCAGGGAGCTGGACTCGAT